TTTTCCCCCAAAGTGCTGTTTCGGTTTTTCTCAACAATGTCGCCGCTGCACGTTACGCATTCGATCTGATATGCTACGCTTACCGCAGCACAGTCGCTTATAGAATTCTGGAGGTAATGGCTAGAAATCAAGTGCGCAATTTTGGCACAGTTCAGGCTGTTTGTGTAGAATATTGGCACTGCTGTCTCAACAGAACGCGGTTACAACGTTTAGCCCTGGCAGCAGAACAGGTACTTATTGTTTCGTACTGTGCAGCCCTTGGTGGTAGATCCTGGCTGAAAGGTATGGAGGGGAGGAGGAATTCAAAGCAGCAGGCTTCAAAGTATTTGGTCGCATAAACATTTGATTTGGAACTTGTTTCACTTTAGGCTTCTAAAGACGACAATCAATCGAAACGACTAAGCTAGTAACAACTTCATCGCGGCTTCAGTTGCCATAGGATGTCATTAAAATGTAATAATGACGATGGTTCAAGAAACAGATTATGCAATCTAGCTGCATAATTCTCCCCACTACATGTCTAAGCAAGGACAGACTTCTATAGATTTTAGAGCACCACAGGCTCTGCTTTAAGCTAAGATGCTGTTATAATAGACTACGGGAATTTGCATAGTTTTTTTTCGACGATTTAAACGTGTTATACTACTTGACAAAAGAAAATTCGCATATTTTTTTTAAAAGTTCCTAAAAATCTATCGATGTTTTGCTTTGCATTCAAAGCAATGACTGTTGCGGTAACAAGAAACATTTTTGTGTACTGGGTGAAGGCGAGTCCAAGTACGAACAGGAATAGATACATTTGCTTTGCAAAAATTGTCTTAAACCCGCCTTTGAAATCTTAATTTTTGCAGATGTCCGACTTCGACAAAATCCTTTCACAGAATCAGAGCTTCGAACCTAAACTGGTCATTTTCAGAAAAAACAAATAGGAGTAAAAGAAAGACCCACTGTAGCCTTTTTTCTTGGAAAGCTTTGTAGAAGCGTTTCCTTCGAATCTGTTGAATACTCGCTGCTGCCTTCCGCGGAATTGTGGACAGTGGTCCCTTCCGTCGTTGTCGTTGTAGCTGTTGTCGTGAACTCTTGTGAACCAGAATCGCTTCGTTTTTGTCTACGTTGCAAAACGCTTTTTCGTTTTTTTATGAGCTTTAGTAGATCTGCTTTGGATTTTTTAACCGTCCGAGGCGCTGCTTCTATTCTACTTACTATTCTCGTTTTCTCTTTAAAATGTGGTGGACAAGGAGTACCTCTTCTCCTCATTCTTTGCTCTGGTACCTTTGAACTACTCGTGGAAGAGCTCGTTGTCTTTGTCTTTGACTCTTTTTCAACCGCACTTGATTTCTTTATGTGTGTGCTAGTAACTGGCACTGTGATGGTTTTTGAGATGGTCTGATTTTGTTCATTTTCTTTGGCTTCCAATTGTGGAGATTGAGTCTTTTCAGTAGATGCAACCTAAACAATATTAAGCTGTAAAACTAGGAGTATTTTTGTATTCAGCCTTATCGCAAGCAAATCCAGATATTCCCCACAAAAGAATGTTGGAGCCTCTCACCGAAGTAGAGGAGAGAGAGAGAGCAAGTCAGTTGTAACAGAAATGTTGTGTCAAATGATTTGAAGACACGACTTACGATCTTACGGCAATACGCCTAAATCTCTAAGTGTATGGTGTATGTGTGCATGTGCGCTTGTTTATATGTGTACGTGTAAAGGTGAGTAGTGGTGAATGTGTTTGTGCATATATGTGTTCGGTATTATGTGCATGCCTGCATGTCAATATGTGTATATACGTGCACCTGTATTTATATACGGATGTATGGATGCGTATATCTGATGTCTATGTACTTATTTATCAATAGTAGCCGTAGAAAATTTTCTCAGAGGGGTCGAAAGATGAACCTATCGAACAGAGGACTGAAAAAGGCTAGGTCATGCCATTGTTCAAATAGACATATATATTTTTTAAAAATAACGTTCATGGTTTGAAAAATTTTAGCAACATAGTTTCTTATGCTTTCAAAAATATTTTGCTGCTTAACAGAAAGTATAGTATACTACTCAACTAGAACTATCAACTAGATAGAACTACTCAAAACGATTGCCACTGTTTGTTAGAGCATTTTCTGCTCTACAAAACAGTGGCAATCGTTTTGAGTAGTTCTTTCATTACTTTAAAGGCTTAGAAATGGAGTATCCAGACGATAAAAATTAGTATTTTCGACCTGCTGTTTTTCGCACTTCATCGAGGCCAAGACGCTGCCGAGGCGGCCCGGGAGCATACGGAGAGTGGGTGGCTCCAGGAGATACGCC